TGTAACCATTTGCCACCTAGCCCAAAATGTCAAGATTAATGTGGGGTCCATAGATAAAATCATCCAAGACCCATCTGCACATGCATAAGGTATCCACTTGCTGGGTTCCTCGGCTGCTCATACCTTTCCAGAAGCAGGAAGGAGTTGAATACTCTCAGGCTCTCCTGACAATGATGTGCCATGGAAACCAGGAGGACTTTTTCAACAGATTCATCACACAGGATGAAAGCTGGGTCCATCACTCAGCTGGTGCTGAAGATGGAAGGCCGACCGGACTCTGTACCTGATTGTTTCCATCAGTGCCTCGAGGCCGTTACTGGATGGCTGCGTGCCAGCAGGTTGAGGGTGAATCCAGCAAAGACGGAGATCCTATGGCTGGGTCGACCGGGCAGTGGGGATATCCATCTGCCCACCCTGGATGGCGAGGTGTTACGCCCGTCATCATTGGTAAAGAGTCTGGGAGTCCTTTTGGACCCTCTGCTGACAATGGAGGCCCAGGTCTCCGCCGTGAGCAGAACCGCCTTCTTTCACCTGTGGCAGGCTAGACGGCTGGCCCCCTCCCTGTCCAGGGACGACCTAGCTACGGTGATCCAGGCCACGGTCATCTCAAGACTGGACTACTGTAACACCCTCTACATTGGCCTCCCTCTGTCGGTGATTCGGAAGCTCAAGTTGGTACAAAACGCAGCTGCTCGGCTTCTTGCGGGAATTCCGATGAGATGCCACATAACACCAATCTTACTACAGCTGCATTGGTTACCAATTGAGCACCGGATCACTTTCAAAGTGATGGTACTCACCTTTAAGGCCTTGCATGGTCTGGGGCCAATGTATCTGAGGGATCGTCTCACCCCCTACCAACCCCAGAGATCCCTCCGTTCTGAGGACCAAGATCTATTGGAGGTCCCCAGTGTCAAGACCTTGCGTCTAGCGGCAACCAGACGCAGAGCCTTCACAGCAGTGGCGCCATCAGTCTGGAATGCTCTGCCACCTGTGGTTCGTGCCCTGCGGGACTTACCAGCTTTCCGCAGGGCATGTAAGACATACCTGTTCCGACAGGCTTTTAATGTTTGATGCTGTTGTTTTTAAATTGTTTTAAATTGCTTTTAAACTTTGTTAGATTTTAGCTATTCTTGTAAGCCGCTCCGAGCCCCAGGGGAGTGGCGGCATATAAGTTTAAATAATAAATAAATAAATAAATAAATAAATAAATAAATAAAATTAAGATCCTGAGACTAAAGTCTAGTCGATGCAATGGAAGCATCCTGAGTCACCGCCTCCAAAGAAGGCATGTGCCCAACTCTCGGCAGGCAAGGTCATGCTCACAGGATTTTGAGACCAGCATGGAGTAAGATTGAGAGCCATGATCACTGGGGCATACTAGGCTTCATTGCTGCGGAAATTGCGGGAGGCCATCCAAACCAAGAGACAAAGTGGCATGCTCACCAGAAGGCATTGCCTTGCCTTCTGCAAGGCAATGCACCAGTTCACGACTCACCTGTTGCCCAAATGGAAGAAGTATGCTCCTTTGGCTTTGAAATTGTACCATATACTCCTTATTCACCCCACTTCACACCATTGGACTTCCACCTCTTTTCAATAATGAAGTTATTTTTGAAGGGCAAGCATTTCTCAGATGATGAGACTCTGATTTCCGAAGTCACAATGTGGCTTTTGGAGCAATGTGTCGACTTCTACAAGCGAGGTGTTTATAGTTGCTTAAAAAGATGAGAGAAGTGTGTGTCCCGAGGTGGCACTGATGGAGAGAAGGACTCATAACTGGGCCAAGTTTCATTGCTCTAAGTCCACAGGAAAAGGGTCAGGGAAATTTTTAAATAGCACCCCTCGTATCGTCATTATTTATTGTTAAATGGATGAATTTTAGGGCTGATGAAAGTTGAAGTCCAACATCTGCCTGGTTGGGATGGAGGTTTAGCTGAGGTCCAGTTCATCTGATTTCATCATAGTCCAAAATAAGCGTAGAGTTCAGTGAGACCCCCCACCCCCATATCTGCAGGACCGTATGCCTTGCCAATGGGAACAGTCCCAATATGAGGATTTCCTATTAAGGTTCCTCTTCCCCGGATAAGACAAAACAAATGGGAGGGGGAAAACCAATGGTGGATCTAGCAGATGTGTGCCTCTGCTTCCAAGTATACCTATGCCTCCTTTTCATATAAATGAAAGGAGAAACTCAAGAACACTTTGCATTGATTCATTGATCCCTCGGCATCTTCAAAGGCCTTGGACTTCAAAGCAGTGTTAAGATATGCACAAACCAAGTGGGCACTTTTTCACTGGTGCCAGTAAAGTCTCAATGTGCGTAACAATAAATTAGTAGGAGTATTTTGAAAGCCGAATCTGCACATTTTTGGGAACCCTTTAGAGGAGAATCTGGGATGCTTTCTGGTTTTATTGCAAATTGATTGGAGAGATTTCTTTATGGCAGAACCATTGGGAAACTAACTCATTAAGACACACACACACACACACACAGATACACTAGTCGTCCCCTGCCACACATTGCTGTGGGCCAGTCTGTGTATATGTGTTTTATGTGTGTATATATGTGTATATGTGTGCATATATATTTGTGAATATGTGTATATATGTGTGTTTGCATATATATGTGATTTTGCGCATGTGTTGTAATGTATTTTTTATTTTTTTGGCTTTTAAAGTATCTTCTTCTGTGTTTTTCAGTTTTTTTAATGAATGATGGTCACTCATTAGCTTGATAGGTGTATTGTGTCCAAATTTGGTCCTAATTCGTCCAGTGATTTTTGAGTTGTGTTAATCCTACAAATGAATATTACGTTATATATATATACACACACACATACACACACACACCCACATATATATACACACACACATATATGTTTATGTACACACACATATATGTGTATATAGTCAATCTTAAATTAGAAACATCTGATCTATATTTGTAGTATATTTGCAGATGCGGTGCTCAGTTCATCCACAAGAGGGCGATCTATCTATTATCTATTCCCACGCTCTCATCTTCCTATAGATCTTGTATTCCGAGGCCTGCTGCTCTCTATCTCCCTCCAGTGGTGGCATGTGAGCCTTGCAGCGCCCCATTCATTTCAATCTAAGGAACTTCCACCTGCTTTACTGCTTTTGAGGAGGCAGCACTTAGTCAGGGCAACCTCAGCTTTCTGTTTCTTTTATTCTGTTTTCTGTCTTCATTTTTTATTTCCTGTTTTCTATTGCTATTACGATATTATTATTATTATTATTATTTAATAATGATTATATTATTATTGTATAATAATTACAGTTCTTGAATGGCCCTTGTGGTCTCGTCCGACTCTATGATCTATTATTATTGGGAGCTGCCTTGTGTCAGCAGGACCGCTGACCGACAGGTTGGCGGTTCAAATCCAGGGTGTGGGGTGAGCTCCCGTCAGTTCCAGCTTCTCATGTGGGGACATGAGACAAGCTTCCCAGACTATGGTCAAACATCCAGGCGTCCCCTGGGCAACGTTCTTGCAGGCAGCCAATTCTCTCACGCCAGAAGTGACTTGCAGTTTCTCGTCACTCCTGACATGATTTTTTTAATCATTASAGTCTTATTGAATGTTTCTTCCAACTGATTAAAAATAATTTGAATACTGGTGTGGTTGGGGGGGGGGGGTTGATTTCATCATTTGGGAGTTGCAGTTGCTAGGATTTATAGTTCACCTACAGTCAAGGAACATTCCGAACTCCACCAACGATGGAATTGAACCAAACTTAGCACACAGAYKTCCATGATCAACAGAAAATACTGGAAAGGTTTGGTGGGCATTGATCTTGCGTTTTGGAGTTGTAGTTCACCTACATCCAGAGTTCACTGTGGACTCAAACAATGATGGATCTGGACCAAACTTGGCAGGAATACTCAATATGCCCAAATGTGAACACTGGTGGAGTTTGGGGAAAATAGACCTTGACATTTGGGAGTTGTAGTTGCTGGGATTTAGTTCACCTACAGTCAAAGAACATTCTGAACCCCAATGATAGAATTGGACCAAACTTCCCACACAGAACCCCCATGCCTTAAAGGTTGAGAAATGGTACTCTAGAGATTGCACTGGGCCTCCATAATCCAGGTATTTCTTAACAGTAATTTATCAGAAACAGAAAACAATAATTTTATAATCAAACTAGCCGTCCCCTGCCACGCATTGCTGTGGCCCAGTCTGTGTGTATGTGTTTTCTGAGTGTATATATTTGTGTACTAGCCGTCCCCTGCCACAACCTGCTCTCGCTCCCGTCAATTGTGCAAAAGCATCTGGCGGGGACGAGACAGGGCCTTCTCGGCGGTGGCCCCTCGCCTATGGAACACACTCCCAAATGAGGTAAGATCTGCTCCCTCCCTCCTGGCTTTCAGAAAGAAATCAAAATCATGGCTTTGGGACCAGGCCTTCGGACAGTAGATGTTTAGAGTTTAAAGTACATGTACTAAAATGACAATACAAAAATTGTTTTAATGACTGCTTAAGTACCGTCTAATTATGATTTATGCTTAATTGTCGTTTTATTATTGTGGTTGTTATGAATTGGCATTGCGGCAGTGTCCAATGTATGGCATTGAAGTTTTGCCAGTTATGTGTAAACCACTTTGAGTTCCCCCAGGGGTGAGAAAAGCGGTATAGAAAATACTGTAAATAAATAAATAAATAATAAATAAGGTCATTTGGTCAGCATGACTGCATGGAGTGCAGCTACCTTCCCAACGGAGCGGTACCTATTGATCTACTCACTTCTGCTTGTTTTCGAACTGCTAGGTAGGCAGAAGCTGGGGCTAACAGTGGGAGCTCACCTCACTCCGTGGATTCAAACTGGCGACCTTTCTGTCAGCAAATTCAGCAATTTAACCTATACAAAGGTACAGATCTCCTTTTCCGATAGTTTCCGAACACATTACAGTCTTTTCCCTCCTACATGGCACCTTTTGGGACTTTAATGTCTTGACAAACAGTAAAAAGCAATGGGATTTTGTAAGACTTTATTGCGGCATGGATGTCTTTAAGGCGCCACAAAACATTTCCTTGCATTTCTCTCCCTTTGGTGGAATGTAGCCAACGAGACCAGCCATTGTTACCCATCCTTATCAATCCCAATGCCCTTTGTTTGGGTTCTTGGACATCTCCGAGGCCTTTTGCTATGGCTACTTGCTGCTGCAAGGACGGTTTTGGCTTCCGCGAAGCAACTATCTGCAAAGCCTTTGAGGCCAAGATGGAGAACTCTTGCCTAAGGAGTTTACTCACTGATGAGTCACCATCTTCACAGGCAGTTTCTCCCCACAAGGAGAAACTCAAGACGGTAGATTCCATTGCAATCATGGAATTTCCATCACAGAACCGAAAGGATCTCTTCCGCAGACCTCGCTTCCACTTTTGTAAACAACTGCAAACCAGTCAGGAATAAAGACTTAATTTTCTTTGAAAATGACGCATCAATACAAATCTTTAAAAGCAACGTAACTCAAGCTGAATTGCGGAAAAATCAGCAAATCCTTTGAATATTAACACTTTTTTATACAAAAAAATGATTTTAGGTTTCCGCCAACGTCACAGTCCACATGGGAAACACTAAAGGGCGTTGTGTCCGCCCCATCAGCCCAAGTCCAGGACCAAGGCGGACAGAGCGTTCATGTCCCGCATGTGGGGATGTTGGGCGAGGATCTTCTCAATCTTCTCCTTCTGCTCAGAGGTAGGGAAGATCTTCCACAGGGCCTCTTTCAAGTGGGTGGTTTCTGTCGCTGATCGTGGATGTGGAGGGAGGGTGGAGGCATGGGGGAACTTGTGGAAAGGAGGCCCAAGGCCCGGCAACCGGCTTTCCGTTGAACGGGAACTGCTTTCTGGTTGCATCACAAAATGTGGCGTAGGCAAAGGAAAGAGGCCTCCGCTTGCAAGGCCATAGGACGATGGGACATTTCTGCAAAACAATGAAACATGGAATATTAAAAGCCAACGAATGGCGAATCTCGGAAACAACAGAATCACAACCTCCCGGCGTTCTATTACTGTTGTTGTCGCCTGTATTGTCTTTATAACAATGTTGTATTTTGGCTTGTATCTCAGTGTGTTAGTAGGCCTCAGTCTGAGAGAGCCCTCAGTGTGAGAAGGCCTCGGTGTGGGAAAGGCTTCAGTGTGAGGTAAGCCTCAGTGTAAGTAAGCTTCAGAGTAGGCCTCAGTCTGAAAGAGCCCTCAGTGTGAGGTAGCCTCAGTGTTAGTAGGCTTCGGAGTAGGCCTCAGTCTGAAAAAGCCCTCAGTGTGAGAAGGCCTCAGTGTGGGAAAGGCTTCAGTATGAGGTAGGCCTAAGTGTTAGTAGGCTTCGGTGTGAGAAGACTCAGTGAAAGAAGACCTAGGTTGAAGGCCATCATGTGTGTAGGCTGCTGTGTGTAAAAAGGCTTCAGTGTGAGGTAGGCCTCAGTGTTAGTAGGCTTCGGTGTGAGAAGATTCGGTGAAGTAAGATCTAGGTAGAAGGCTATCATGTGTGTAGGCTCCTGTATGTAAAAAGGTTTCAGTGTGAGGTAGGCCTCAGTGTTAGTAGGCTTCAGTGTGAGAAGATTTGGTGAAAGAAGACCCATGGTGAAGACCATTATGTGTGTAGGCTGCTGTGTGTAAAAAGGCTTCAGTGTGAGGTAGGCCTCAGTATTAACAAACTTTGGTGTGAGAAGATTCGGTGAAGAAAGATCTAGGTAGAAGGCCATAATGTGTGTAGGCTGCTGTGTGTACAAAGGCTTCAGTGTGAGGTAGGCCTCAGTGTTAGTAGGCTTCGGTGTGAGAAGATTCAGTGAAAGAAGATCTAGGTTGAAGGCCATCATGTGTTTAGGCTGCTGTGTGTAAAAAGGCTTCAGTGTGAGGTAGGCCTCAGTGTTAGTAGTCTTTGGTGTGAGAAGATTCAGTGAAAGAAGATCTAGGTAGAAGGCTATCGTGCGTGTAGGCTGCTGTGTGTTAAACGGCTTCAGTGTGAGGTAGGTCTCAGTGTTAGTAGGCTTCAGTGTGAGAAGATTCAGTGAAAGAAGATCTAGGTTGAAGGCCATTGTGCGTGTAGGCTGCTGTGTGTAAAAAGGCTTCAGTGTGAGGTAGGCCTCAGTGTTAGGTTTCAGTGTGAGAAGATTTGGTGAAAGAAGACCCAGGTTGAAGGCCATCATGTGTGCAGGCTGCTATGTGTAAAAAGCTACTGTGTGAAGCTCCTGTGTAACTTTGGTGTAAGAAGAGGCTCTGTGAGAGTGAAGCTGTTTACCTGCATAAGAAAGAAGGCCAGCGTGGAAGCAAAGAAGGAAGTGTAAAGAACTTTATTTGTGCCATGGAAACCTTGTTCTTGTAAATAGTGCAACCATACTATTTTGCTATAAAGAAAAGCCTCCTATGGAAGAAATAACATTGGTCTCTGTATTTTTATTCTTTTTATCACTTTGGGCTACTGGTGTTGGGTCACGCTGCTGCTGCTAAGTTACTCTGCTGTACATTTATGAGGAGGGTCTTTTGTTAATAAGCCCACTCGCCCAATGGTAAGCACATCATTAGTGCTTCTATATTTTCTGTCTCATTACATATAAGCAACTCGTAAAGCTTTATTGAACCACTCAAATGTTAGACTTGTTCCTGACTATATTTCACAGGTTTGCCCCTGTTGGCTCTAGTTTTTGAGATCGATGGTTGGCCTCCCAGCCTTTCTCACCACAGCCCAAGGACGATGGGAGTTGCTGTGCAACAGACACCTGGGCGCTTGGGCTTTGGGAGTGCCAAGGAGCACTCTATACCTGCTGTGGGCGCTCTCTTCAAGGAAACGTTCCAATCCTGGTCCGTTCCGTCCCATGGGGTCATCCGGAACCATGAAAAAGTCTCCAGCAAAAGTGTACGGGAGGAGCCTACAAGAGCAACGGAGTGAGGGAATAGTACAACGGAAATACTCTTTCAGGTCTATAAACTTATCTGTGCATCGTATAAATAATTTACCTTATACAGGCAGTCCCCAACTGACAGACAAAATACCGTATATACCTGAGTATAAGCTGAGTTTTTCTGCTCTTTTTTTAGGCTGAAAAAGCTCCCCTCGGCTTATACTCAAGTCAAAGTTATTTATTATTTTACTCTGTTATTATTACCATTTTATTACATGTATTATTTTACTCTATTTAATACTACTATTATGTTTACATTATTTTACTCTATGAGTATTACTATTACATTTATTATTTTTCTCTATTTATTATTGTTATTACATTTATTACTTTACTCTATTATTGTTATTACATTTATTATTTTACTCTATTATTGTTACTGCATTTATTATCTTACTCTATTATTATTACATTTATTATCTTATTCTATTGTTGTTATTACATTTATTACTTTACTCTATTATTGTTATTACATTTATTATCTTACTCTATTATTGTTATTACAAACTAAACAAATCAATAAAATATAAATTCATAATGTCTCCTTGTTAAAAACGTTGTCCGGACTCATTGTCTAGTCGTTCCATTTTCCTATGTCAGGTGCCCTGTATTTGCAAACGCTTGTTCAAAACGCCACGTCTTGACGTTTTTCCAGAATGTTAAAAGGGAGGTGGCCAATCTAATATCTATAGGTTGCACAGCTGAGGGGCCACCACCGAGAAGGCCCTGCCTCTCGTCTCCGCCAAACGTACTTGTAACGAAGGTGGTAACGAGAGCAGGGCTTCACCAGACGATCCTAAGGTCCAAGATTATGTAAAGGTAAAGGTTTCTCCCTGACATTAAGTCTAGTTGTGTCTGACTCTGTGGGTTGGTGCTCATCTCAATTTCTAAGCCGAAGGGCTGGTGTTCTCCATAGACACCTATTGATCTACTCACATCTGCATGTTTTCGAACTGCTAGGTTGTTGGAAGCTGGGCCTAACAGCACGAGCTCACCCCATTCTCTGGATTCCAACTGTCAACCTTTCGGTCAGCAAGTACAGCAGCTCAGCAGTTTAACCTACTGCGCCACTGAGGGCCCATGTTGTTGTTATATCCTACAGACTAGTGATAGACAGAATGCTGTTTCATTTCCAAGAGTTGAAGGGTGTACAAAGCTGCAGTTGGTGGTTATTGAATATTTAACTGAACACATACCTCAGCCAATCCCATGCCCATCTCCCCTTTGGAAATCTTGCAACGGAAATGCAGTTACCTCTTTTGAATAATCTCTCTCCAGGAAGTAGATTCGTTTACAAATTCTCTAAGATTATCATTGGTAACAACGACTCCTCCAGTTTTCTCCGCAAGATGCAGCAAAAACCTAGGACAACATTTGCAAACAGAATCAGCATTCTTGCCCCGAATAAACACAAACTCAATGCCTGATCAAGAACCCTTTTCAAGGCCATGCTGGTCATGTACTCTTGTTCTGCGCTGGCTGTAATTCCAGGTCTCCCCAAGTGTTTGATAGCAAACACCCAACTGCACCGCGACTGTGGCGCAATTGGCTGGGACTCAGCTGCGTTAAGATCACTACTGAGTTCGAAGCCAGCCCGGGTCGGAGTGAGTTTCCAACCAATTTGTGTAGCTTGCTGTTGACCTTTGCAGCCAGACAGTTGCAACTGTCAAGTAGGAAATTTATGCGGGGAGGCTAATTTACGACGCCATAAAAATCTCCAGCAAGCATGCAAAGAATGAGGAAGTACTTCATCAGTGTCACCAATGGACGGTGAAGCGACGGCTCCCCTGGTGGCCAGAATAGCCTCATGAAAAAAGCTGGAATGTTAAATAGCCTCTGTGTGTCTGTCTATATATGTTGTATGTCTATGGCATTGAATGTTTGCCATGTATATGTACATTGTAATCCGCCCCGAGTCCCCTGCGGGGTGAGAAGGGCGGAATATAAATACTGTAAATAAAGAAACAAACAAACTTGAGTTTGTGTTATAGATATGGTTTTTATGAGGTGACAAATAAGTCTTCCATCCCTTTTGTGGAAAGGCTCCAGCAACCCATCACAGTAAATGCTGGAACTGGGCCCTTCAATGGCTAATTCCACTAAGACTCTTCATGGTCCAATATCAAATTCCCCATTGCTGGCAAAATCAATGGAAGATGGGAGTCATAACGGTTACATGATACAGACCAAACAAAGAAAATCAAAGTGTGACCAAAGTGTAAAAGAAGGGGTTTTAACCTGGCTCTCACACACATTAATATATATTTACTGGAGGGTTTTGAGAACACAGCAGGCTCCCCCGTCCCCCACTTTTCAAGGAGAAATGTGATTCATAGTAGAGGGGGTACCATGAAAATATGTGTAGGAAACCACAACGTCCCTCTATGAAAAAGAGAAGAGAAATGGGTGAGAGAAGAAAACACGAGGAATCAAGGGATTTAGAAAAGGCAGGACAACGGTCCTCAGTCAGAGCTGGTTCGTGTGGGAAAGGAAGGGAGGGTGCAAGAGTTTGAGGCTCTCTCCCTTCCTCTTCCCGCTCCCCTCTCTGACACAGCAGGAGGGCCAACAATATATAATATATTGTATATAGAATCATAGAATCAAAGAGTTGGAAGAGACCTCATGGGCCATCCAGTCCAACCCCCTGCCAAGAAGCAGGAATATTGCATTCAAATCACCCCTGACAAATGGCCATCCAGCCTCTGCTTAAAAGCTTCCAAAGAAGGAGCCTCCACCACACTCCGGGGCAGTGGAGGCTCCTTCTTTGGAAACTTTTAAACAGAGGCTGGATAGCCATCTGTCAGGGGTGATTTGAATGCAATATTCCTGCTTCTTGGCAGGGGGTTGGACTGGATGGCCCATGAGGTCTCTTCCAACTCTTTGATTCTATGATTCTATATACAATATATTAATATTATATGTATTATATACATATAATATTTATAATATTATAATGTAATACAATACCACTATTAATAATAATACAATATTATAATTATATATTTTATCTTACATGTAATATTACTAATAATATTACAACATGATGGTATAGTACAATATAGCAATATATAATACTGATATTGTACTATGCTAATAATATAATATATTGTATGTATATATATCTTGTAAGCCGCTCTGAGTCCCCTTCAGGGTGAGAAGGGCGGCATATAAATGTCGTAAATAAGTAAATAAATAAAAAAAATGGCGCTTTCGACGCTGCATGAGAGATCGCTGTCTGAGAGAGTGCAGGCCATGTGCCGCCGTGCTGGTCCCACCATCCTTCGCCCTCCTTCCACTTGTGGCCCTTGGCTTCCTGTCCTTTTCTCCTCTGCTTCCGCATTTGGCCCACACTGTGGAGGGACAGCACTGACTCTCGGGAGGAGCTGAGCTCACAGAAGGTGGGCAGAAGGCGGTGTCGCTTCCTCACTGTTCCTTCCCTCCCTCACTGTGATTCTGGGGAGAGACCAACGTTTGGGAAACACTGGCCTAGAGGCATCGCCACTTGCCTCTTCCCATAGTAACTACGACCCATCTGAAACGGTGGGGTGACCCCACAATGGGTTGCGACCCCCAGGTTGAGAACCGCTGTTCTAAACTTTTTTTAGTCTTTTGATTGTGGATGCATTTTTTAAAAATTTCAAACTGATTTGCTTTAATTGTGAACTGTTACAACAGGTTTTTACAGTGAAAGAAAGTCTATGACTATAGCTAACAAAACAAAAGAGTACATGAAAATGATCTGTGATGCTGGCACAATGTATGTGAAAGTCGGCCCTGAAGCAAAGCATGACATTTTAAATGTATCTTCAATAGTGAGTACAACATTAACAAGAAAATGCTTTGGTTGTCTCCTCAAAAATATTTTTTTTCTGAAAGTACTTGAGAAACAGAATAGCGAATTGGAACAAAGGCTTGCTGTACCTGTCATCATGGGATGCAATCCTGGCTCCACATACAACCCTTGCAGGAGTGAGGGCCAAAATTCCAACATCTTGGAGCTGGGTCAGGAAGTGCTGCTCTATTAAGATGAAAAAGAAAGAGCAAAAACAATAAAATAGTGATAAATGATACAGATTTCATTTGGCAGTGGAGACCCAAACTGATCAATGCCTACTATTGCTGCACCACGCACATCAGAGCATTCCAAGCAGTCTGCTCTGGCTATGCAGGCTGAATTCTGGGATTTTTTTTTTTTTTTGCTATCCCCATGTTAGAAATGTCGGAGAGAAGGATTTAGGGGACAAAAGAGGAGCAGACTCTTGGCTCTGATCATAAACATGGTACAGTCTGCACTGGGATTGATTCCAGAAGTTTTGGAAGGAAACATGGTAGATTTTCTTAGTTTTCTAATTCAGACTATTACTATGGCCTTAAAAGATATAAATTCCTGGATGTAAATAAGAGTGCAAAGGATAAAACGTTTCCAGATGTGATTAACATCTTCCCCCTAATTTCTAAGAACACATCTGTTCTCTCTTGAGAATTGGTCTTTTCAGTTTCCCTCCTATTCAAGAGAGTTACTTTCCCTTTCCATGTACATACTCCTTTAACAGCTTCTAGAAACTGGGAAGATAAAACAAAATCCATGGAACGCAAGACATTCTCCTTTTCATCTTGGGACGATTTTTTTCTGGATTGGAGGGTACTCCTAGTGTGTAGCACAGCTGGTTAATCACCAGCTGCGATAGATCACTGCCGACCAGAAGGTGGCAAATTTGAAGCCTGAGTTGGATTGAGCACCTGACTGTTAAGCCTAGCTTACTGCCTACCTAAGCAGTTCTAAAACAGCTGAGTTGTGAGTAGAAAAATTAGGCACAATTTAAAGCAGGGACATATTTTATGACACCATAAAAATGCCGGCTATCAAAGAACAAGGAGGAAATACTATGATCAAAAGGGCTTTTCGTCAAAGTGGATGAAGCGACAGCACCTCCCTGTGGTCGGAATCGAGAATAACCTCCTGGCGCCAAAGTTGGAAAATGCCAAAATACCTCTATTTGTCTGTCTGTCTTGTATGTCTAAAAACAGTATTAAATGTTTGCCATGTATGTGTGCACTGTTATCCGCCCTGAGTCCCCTTCGGGGTGAGAAGGGTGGAATATAAATACTGCAAATAAATAAATAAAATCCTAGAGGGCCTTTGGAAGCCTAATCCTTTGGGAATAAATAAACAACTGGGCACCAACACTCCCAAGTCCTGCTTGGCAGCATCTTAAATACAGGCAACCCAAGCTTGGGAAGGAAGCACAATCCCATCACATTCCATACCTGTGGCATTACAATCTCTCCTCGTTCTCCATTGTGGGACAAACACGGTAATCTGCCTGTGACCTCGCTTCCAAAAGTAATCCACGGCAATTGCAATCCCCCGACATGAGAAGAACTTCTGTAGCCCATGACTGCAACAAAGACAAAGTGGGGATATGGGAAGGGTATGCATATACGTATTTTCAAGTCATCTATCGCATACTGAGATCATAGGAGTATCTTAGGGTTTTTGTAGGCAAGGTTTACTCATGACTGTTTTGCCAGTTCCTTCCTCTGAAATATAGTCAACAGAATCTGGGAATTCCTTGGTGATCTCCAATCCAATTAGGACTGGCTGACCTTCGCTTCCAAGATCAGGGGCATTTAGGCCAAAGGAAAGATAGCACTTGCTGAACGTCATCACACTTGTTTACGAACCATAGAATCATAGAGTTGGAAGAGGCTTCATTGGCCATCCAGTCCAACCCCATTTTGCCAAGAAGCAGGAAAACTGCATTCAAAGCATCCCCGACAGATGGCCATCCAGCCTCTGTTTAAAAGCTTCCAAAGAAGGAGCCTCTACCACACTCCAGGGCATAGAGTTCCACTGCTGAACAGCTCTCGCAGTCAGGAAGTTCTTCCTAATGTTCAGATGGAATCTCCTCTCATGTAGTTTGAAGCCACTGCTCCGTGTCCTAGTCTCCAGGGCAGCAGAAAACAAGTTCACTCCATCCTCCCTATGACTTCCTCTCACATATTTATACATGGCTATCATGTCTCCTCTCAGACTTCTCTTCTTGAGGCTAAAAATGCCCAGCTCTTTAAGCGGCTCCTCATAGGGCTTGTTCTCCAGACCCTTGATCATTTTAGTCGCTCTCTTCCTGACTGCTGAAAATGTAAAATTTAATTCCATGTGAAGGGAAGAGGTTGGCAATTTCTGACAAGAACTCACTAGGGAGTTATTGTCAGAAATATTAAAAACTAGGCATTTTAAATTACAAAAATGTGAGTCAAGCACTGAAAGGGTTAAATGGATACAATGACTCAGTAAAAGCTGCAGTTCAATATAAGTAAGTGTGCTTGTAGCTTAGTAGAACTCAGTCTGTGAAAGGTCTCTGTGGAAGAAGGGCCTCAGTCTTAGTTCCTCTCAGTGTGAGGTAGGCCTCAGTATGAGAATGCCTCAGTGTGAGAGGAAGCTCCAGTATGAAGGCTGTGTGTAAAAAGTTATGTGCAAAGCTCCTATGTAACTTCAGTGTGAGAGGAGGCTTTGTGAGAGTGAAGCTGTTTATCTGCATATCTTTGTTTACACTTAATTAAAAAAAACCTTAATATCACTCTCTGTGTTAGCTAATGATTCTCCATGAGTTAAACATACACACTCTGCAAACTCCTTTGCAAACTTTCCTCCAAATAGTGTGTTTCACCCTGATCTAGGAATCCATAATTGCATGTGGGCCTCCATATGCAGAGCAATACTTTCCATTTATTATCTCACAGAGCACAGTAAGTTCCCACACTGGAAATTTTACTTCTTTGGACTACAATTTCCAGACTCTCTCAATTTGTACCCATTTCTTTCTCACATATCAACCCTATGCTTTGCCATGCTGGCATATCTACTGGTTTGCTTGTGAAACCATCATCCACCACCATATTACCCAACCTCTTCCTCCTAATCCTGTTTGCTTTGCGGTAGAGAGGCAGCTCTGATTATGCAACCCGGGCATGTTTGCACAGGAACTCCCTTGGCACGGCTCATTCTGTGATAGGCCTCAACAAAAACAAAAGATAGCTTTCATTTTCAGTGTTATCTGCACTACAAGAGTTTTAAGGAGGTTCCTCGTGGGTCCATCCAAGAATGTCACTGGTTTCTGTTTGTTTTGTCTTCTGTTCAGAAGACCACACCTGAAATGCACGTTTACAATAACCAACCTGTCCACCTCTTTGCAGCACCAGCTTTTGGCATAGTTTCAAGGGAGGGCAAAAACATTTCAGGAATGATTTGGAGGTGAAAAATAGAAACATCTTGTACTAGAGACTATAGCCAGAGAAATGGCTAGCTAGCTAGCTTAATAACAACAACAACAATTATTTATACCCCGCCACCATCTCCCCAATGGGGACTCAGAGAGGCTTACATGCAAAATAAAACCAGAACATAAACAAGCAACATCATCAAAATTACATAGAAAAAAAAGTATAAACACAGTAACAAAATAACATTCCAATAAACACAATCACGATAACAGTGGGCGGGCCACATGTACAGGACAAAATGATTAAAAACTCTAACAAGATAAAAATAGGAGCAGGTTATTTGCAGGGAACCCATAAAAACACACAGGGTTGTGGAACTAAACTTCCCATTTGGAGGGTGTGTACTCCAGTGGCAGAAGCATTGAAGGGAGCAATAGTGTCATGTTGTGCATCTACATGCCAAAGGCGCAGTGGAAGAACCAGGTTTTAAGGTTCTTTTTGAACGTTTCTAGTGAAGGGGCTTTCCTGATCTCTCCAGGTAATGAGTTCCAGAGTCTGGGGGCCACAGAGGAGAAGGCTCTCTCTCTTGTGCCCACAAGACGAGCTTTTGAGATTGGTAGGGGTGAAAGGAGGACCTCTCCCGAAGATCGAAGGATACATGGGTTGATACATGGAGAGAAATACAGTCACGAAGGTAGGGGGGGTCCCAAACCTTTTAGGGCTTTGTAGGGGAAAACCTGTACCTTGAATTGGGATCGGAAAATAAATGGCAGCCAGTGGAGCTCCTTAAACATGGGAGTCGTCCGCTCTCTATAGCTAGCCCCACTTATTAATTTGGCTGCCGAACGTTGGACAAGTTGTAGTTTCCGGGCCGTCTTCAAGGGTAGCCCCACCTAGAGTGCATTACAGTAATCTAGTCTAGAGGTAACTAAGGCGTGAACCACTGTGGTCAAGTCAGACTTCATCTTCCTTTCAAAAATGTATGTGCGATTTAACAACTTGTCTAGTTCATTACATTTTTCCCCTACCCCTTTTCTTTTAATTTTGGCCATTTTGCTTGCAATCTAAGAGGGAGTGTAAGCCTGGAGACAGGAGACAAGGTAAACTGGGAAAACCTCCATGGCTCTCCAGAGCAGCATTTCTCAACCTGGGTATTGGGACCCTGTAGGGGTTGCAAGGAGGGTCTCAGAGGGGTCACCAAAGACAATCAGAAAACATATATTTCTGATGATCTTAAGAACCCCTTTGACAGATAAGGCAGAAGATCTCTCCGCCTGCCTTTCTCTTCTTTTTTGAAACACACAGCAAATCCTCCCACCAAAAGCCCTCCTTCGCTGTGATTGGCCAGCCTCTCAGCCATGGGGAGGCCTGTTTCTGAGATTCCAAGCAGGGAGGGGAGTGCAGGCGTGTTCCGCACATGGCAGCGTGATGTGCATGTACGGACGAGGGAGAGTGTGCGAGGCTGGAGGGAGGCTTGTGCCAGTGAGTCCCTTCAAGTCATGGGGGTTTTGTGTGGGAAGTTTGGCCCAATTCTATCGTTGGTGGGGTTCAGAATGCACTTTGATTGTAGGTGAACTATAGATTCCCAACAACTACAACTCCCAAATGTCAAGGTCTATTCCCTTCAAACTCCACCAGTGTTCACATTTGGGCATATTGAGTATTTGTGCCAAGTTTGGTCCAGATCCATTGTTTGAATCCACAGTGCTATCTGGATGTAAGTGAACTACAACTCCAAAACTCAAGGTCAATGCCCACCAAACCCTTCCAGTATTTTCTCTTAGTCATGGGAGTTCTGTGTGCCAAGTTTGGCTCAATTCCATGGTTGGTGGAGTTCAGAATGCTCTTTGATTGTAGGTTAACTATACATCCCAGGAACTACAACTCACAAATGACAAAATCAATCCATCCCAACCCTACTAGTATTCAAATTTGGGAGTATGGGGTATTTGTGCCAAATTAGGTCCAGTGAATGAAAATGCATCCTGCATATCATGTGTTTACATTACGATCTGTAACAGTAGCAAAATTACAGTTATGAAGTAGCAATGAAAATAATTTTATGGTTGGGGGTCACCACAACATGAGGAACTGTATTAAGGGGTCGCGGCATTAGGAAGGTTGAGAAACATTGCTCCAGAGAAATTCGATTAATTTAGATTTCCTTTCTTGTGTGGGCAAAGAAGGCCTTCTCCAAGGTTTCAACAGCTGTCCCCCTACTCTTCTTGTGTACGCCACTAACAAAAGTCCAAGCAAATCAAGATGTAAAGACATAAAAATGCAATGTTGATCCTATGCTTAGTGGGTTAACAATCTGTGAAATCAGGGTGGCACTTATGATAAACTGTTGTAGGATGAGGTCATTCAGATGCAACGATGGCAAAGATGCCATAATGACTATTGTCTCACTGGATGCCCTCAAAGAGGACAATCTATTTCTTCACTGTCCATTTTTTGTTCAGGACAGTTTTCAAAACTGGTATTCCAGTAATTAAAACTATAGTGAGTCCAAATCTCCCGGCTGTAGAGGAAGTTATTTGCATGAAGCATTATCTCAGGCGTGTCCCTTTCCAAATAAACATTCCTACAGGGAAGGATCATTGTATCGTATTTTGGCACCGGGTGTGACAGGGTCACCTATTAGTCCTAATTAAGAGATGAAACATAAATACCTATTCCTTGGAAACGGGATGCCTATTATATTTTTTCAGGAGTTGCTACACAAGGCTTACCTGCTTCCAATCAGGCCTGGCATGTTGGAAGGCCAGCAAGACTGGGCAGGCTATGAAAATAAGTCCAAGAAAATATTTCCATGTTTCACAATTCAATCTTCTTCACTCACATTCTGTGTAGAGGACACCTTTCTACACACTCCTGGCATGAAGCAATCTACTCCCTATGCACTCTTGGGCACAATTGTAAGAAAATAAGCCAGCAGTGCTGCATCAAACCATCTCATCCATCTCATCTTCTGTCTCCAAAGGTGGCCAACTAGACCCCTGAGAAGCCCACAAAAATTAGAAGGCAATAGCTCTTTTTTCCTCTATTGAGCTCCAGGAACGGATGAGTTACTTTTTGTTTCTAAACACTCAGTTAACATACAACAATAATCCTAATTCTTATCACCAATGCACATGCTAATTCTCAAAGTGTGGGCCCATCTAGATAGTACCTTTATCCCAGGAGCTTCCACAGCAAACAGGAGGGTGGCCAGACACCATTCTCTGTAAATGCAGAAGCAATTGCTACAAAAGGGAAAAAATGCGAGATTTCCAGTTGTGGGAATTTTGTGGTTTTGAGCCGAATATGCTTCACATGTTTGGTATGGCCCTGCACTCTGAAATCACGGGATTTTTAAAATCTAAGTTTGTTCCTGGGTTTTAGATGTTTGTTCCTGATTGGTTCATTCCTAAAAAGAATGTGACACTTTGTTTGTGTGATAAGACACATCATGAAACGTGTGGAGGGCACAGTTTCTCTGGCCAGGACAAAGTTGTGGCCCCTTGTCAACGTTGTACATTTTTTCACAAGAAGAGCAATCAGGAACAGCCATGTATAAACCAGGAATGGCACCATGTTGTTTGATGCCACAAGCACATAACCAAATCTGTCTGGCAGCCATCTAAAAAGTGTCAATAATGACAAAGTTCTGTTCCTGGCTTGAAAGTGTGTGTTCCTGTTTGATTGTGCAGTGCTGACTTGGGCAGAAGTTGTCCTACCCCATTAGGTTTCTTTGTGTGATAGATATTTCATGAAACGTCTGGAGCGCATAGTTTCTCTGGCCAGGGAAAGGATGGAACTTTTGCAGTGATTCGCATATCCGAATCTCTGCATATCCGCATCTTGAGCTTTTAAAAAACCACCAAAGTCCTGCAGCGGCCATCTTGGGAGCCTCTAAATCTCGCAGCAAAACATCAAGTCTGGACAACGGAGGTAGAAATCAACAGGTCTGCATGTGGACTTCTTCTAAAGTTCTGGGATTTTTTTGCCCCTGTTTAAAACCCGTGATTTAGTGCTGTCTGGAAGAGCCCTTCGTCAAAATATCACCAACCACACAGAAGAGGGAAGTATCAGGAGGCCTGGGAGACATCAAGAGGAAAAGGAGAAGAAAAAAAAGAGAAAGAGAGGAAAAAGAAGAAGCAGCAGAAGCAGTTGTTGTTTGGAAAAAAAAATTAATCAAGCAATCCAAAGAGAACTGAATGGTGATGAAAGGTTGACTGTTTAAAAATGGTATGCCAAAAAAAAAAAAAGTGAGAAAATAGAGTAAATTGTCATGGAAGATAGGACAACTATCTTTCATCTTGAGCAGGGAACTTTATACTTGTAACACAGTGGTTCTCACCCTGTGGGTCCCCAGATATTTTGACCTTCAACTCTCAGAAATCCTAACAACTGGTAAACTGGCTGGGATTTCTGGGAGTTGTAGGCCAAAACACCTGGGGACCCACAGGTTGAGAACCACTGCTCTAACACTTCTCAATGGCTACTAATCATCACATCTCCTATATTTCTCTCTAGCCTGCTGAAGCTGTGGGAAGCATTATGAACTTTAAGCAGATGGGGGGAACCTACTCCACGTCGCACTCCATTTCATGCTTTGCACAACATGGGAGTATTTTGTTACTATTTCACACCGGCATTACAAAAAAACCCTTTGTGGAGGTCATGTGCTTCCTTTAACCCAAGCACAACTGAGATGAAGCATGCAGTAGTTACTCACAGTTTCAACTATTTGCATAGTGCTTCCTATTCGTTCCAATCTAACTGGAACTTATAATGAATCATAATTGCAACTTTCATTTTACATCACTTCTGAGCCTTCTGAAAAATTAAAGAAGGGTTTGCATCAGGTCTTTACTATACTTTCCTCTTTTTCAAATGAATGTTGAAGTACTCCTGTGTGCTGGTTCACTGATTTCCAGAAAACGTAACCCAAAGCACTGATGGTTAGAGATTGCTGCATAATATTAGTTTCTTCTTCTAAGATAAGTAAATGACCAAACTACAACTTCCAGGATATCACAGCATTGAGCTATGGCAGTTATAGTGGTGTCAAACTGCATTACTTCTCTCTAAAAAGCTCCAGTGGTTGTACCCTCCATTTAAGAGGAGTCTAGTCTCATTCTCTCAGGAAGCTTTGGGGTTACAACGATTGTCGAATACAGCCTTATTCTTCCTACCAATTACCCAGATTCTTTCCTCTAATCGTCCCCGGAATGAATAGCCACAGACCCGTACCTAATATTATTGTTGCCTGCCATAGCATTGCACTTAATTCCCGAGCCCCCTAGAATTTTTGGGCTTGCACAAATCTTGGCCCGGCCTTTTAAATTTTTAAATTGTCTTGAACAGGCAGGATTACTTTTAATATATGTGTGTTATGGCGACAATTTTTATGATTATATTTTGTTTTGTTAATCTTATGGTTATGTTGTTTTTTTTACTTTGTATGTTTTGTGATGTTACCTGGAAACTGCTCTGAGTCCCCTTGGGGAGATGGAGTGGTATATAAATAAATTATTATTATTATTATTATTATTATTATTATGGTTTGATCAGATCACTGTGTCATGCTTTTGTTTTTTACATTCTGGAATTGCACTACATGTTTACAGTTCTGTTTTATTTCAGATCTGTAGCTCAGTAAACAAGAAGAGGAACAAACAGGATTTCCTTGTGTGGACAGAACGAAAACAACATTAGATTTGTCCAGCAGTTATGCCTGTCCTTTCTTGTTATTTGCTTATCTAAAGGAAATTATGGTTTCTTGGGTTCAGCCCTGCAACAACACAGATACTTTCAATTTGCAAAGGGCTAGTCAGTAAAGTCAGAAGTACTAAGATGATTTTTTTCCCCTCTTCACATCCCACCTTATTGAAGGGCAGTCAGATTCCTTGCCATGCTTAAGGTTCTCCAAAATCCTGATTCTGGCATCAAAGTGGAGGTCTCTAAAGCACACTGGGCCTCAACAAACATAGTTCTAAAGTAATGGTGTCAAGACACCTAAACATCAGAATGATCTAAAAATCAACTACATGCTGTTGGTCTCTTGATGGGCATACTCTAGAACAGGTCAGAAGTTTCCAATATCTGGGGCTTCTTTTTCACCACAGACTGTCCTGGTCTACTCATACTGCTTCTATTACTCTCAATGCTCAAGTAAGTAGTTTAGCCATTTTGCGTTTTACCGCTACTAAAGGGGGGGGGGGGCAGTCCATATCTTTGGCAACTAAAGTCTTTAACGCTAAGATAGCTTCCCAGCTGCTGTATGCTTCCAGCATCCGGATTGGGAGCCTAACATCAAAAATAGACCAAAAGCATACATAGTTTTTGAGGGTCCTTTTCCAGCTCCCCAGATGTGTCCCATCCTGTGTCGTACTACTTGAATCTGGGGAAGCACCCCTGTTAATAAAAGCCTGGTGGTGGGCAGTTAAATATTGGCTCAAGATCAGAGTTTTTAGTTTAGGATCCGGTTTGATTCATCACTTAGCTCAGGATAGGTACATAAGCAATTGGTTTAAGATCTATCCTAAGAAAGCCTCGTCCACCAACCTTTCCGCATCCCTCCTAACTCAATCTGGGTTTTGACCTGGCTCTCAAATCAATCAAAGAGAGACTGTGGGAAAATGGCTTTTGTGAGCTGTGCTCTCGCTCTTATGTATCTTGCTCCCCTGGTGCTCTGTCCATACATTATGTTGGGCCTTTCCATGCAGCAAACTATCTAAAGAACTTGACTGTGGCCAAATACCGCTGCCTATTTTCCAAAGCAAGGTGCAATGTCCTCCTGTCTGAATGGCTGCGTGGGAGATTTGCAGCTACAATGACAGACTCTGCCCCTGTAACAAACAGGAATAGAATGCATCTACCAGTTTCTATGAATAGACCCGCGCACACACAATGAGCCCCCTACTAAGAAACTAACCAGCAAGTGCAGTGAAATTTTATGTGAAGTTTCCACTTAGTCTTATTACCTGCATACCTTGTATACCTACAGTGCAATAAGGGTCTTTGGACCATAATAAAATGTGGAGTCAACAACCTAAACACCATAATGCATTTTTAAGGTGGTACCATAAAACAAAGGGGATGTTCGAGCCCTGAAACATATGAGTGCTGAAAAGGATTTCAATTCTATTGCTAATTCATTTTTACTTACAGGTTTTCTCTTCCTTTTTGGGGATAGGCACACAGATTATGTTGTTTTCATTCAATATTACTCATCAATGTAAAATGTTCAAAGGGACTTATCACGTGGAAGTGAGTGAGACTATAAAGGGTCAGCAAAGTTTCATATATGTCTCATCACAAAAAACCCAATCGTCTGCCTTGGAAAATAGGTATCTCTCCCCGGCTTTGACTGCACATATTTTTGGTACTTTCCCTCCTTTGCACTGTCAACTTAGAAATGCTCTAGAAATCTAATCATCCCTCGGTACTTACGTCATTGCCACATTGCTGCCATCTATTACTATGTATTTCACATCGCTCCTCCCTGGTTCATTTTTCAATTCCAGCTTGTATGGTGTATTCAGGGATTCTAGAAACCTCTGGATTCCAGTGACTGAAGGGTCAGTGTGATGACTGGGCAAAGCCTCTACTCTCCTTTCAGGATAAGATCCTGTTAATTGTGCAGGAAGTCTAGAATCCAAAAGCTGATTGGATTTCTGAGAAGGTAGATGTCTGGCTCCAAGCTGTAGAGGATTGCAATGTCCCTGTTGATTGTTTTTGGTGGATGGTTGTTCAGCATATCCTTGAAGGACCCCTGTTTCTATTGGAATTGGTGGACGTGGTGTCGCTGTGATTCCCCTTGCCACCAAGCCAGGATCATTCAGTTTCTTATCCTTCAATACCCACTGTTCATGATTACAAGCTTTCACATGGCCATCACTTTCTACATCACTTGCTTGGGAAATGTGAGACAGTCCAGAGTAATAATCCAGACAAACTTTTCTGCAGTCTTTGTGCTGTGGGTTTTGGGTGCCAGACAAAGCCGTTTGGTTTTCACTTTTTGGCATGTATGTTTTCCCTTCAGCCTTGCTCTGAGCTTGCCCAACAGATATTACACTTTGTTTTGCATTTCTGGAAGGCTCTGGCTTACATCCCAGGCCTTGGTTGCTTGAACTGCCTTTATCCTTCTCAGCCCACACAGAAGGGACAACAACCTCACTTTTGTCCTTGGAACCCTTTTGACTTTCTTTTTCAATTTCTTCCAGAAGCAAGAGCGGCTCAGCCGACTGACCATGTTCTGCAATTACCTTCTCTACAATTTGTTGCGAGTAGCCCATGCTTTTGAAAAAATTCACCAAAATCTTATATTCCATTTCCTCGCTTATCTCATCACTTTCTTTAGTGCATCCATGTGGATCATCCAACTCACTGCTTGAATCGGAGACTAAATCAATCAACACAACATCATCATCATCATGGGATGAAGCAGCGGGTGGAATCAGTTGGATCTCCTGATTGTTTTCTAAAGAAAACTGCTTCTTTGGAAGCCTCTCCTCAGCTTCCGATGACCTTCTTTTACATGATTGTCTCTCTTTACTTGCAGAAGTCTCTGGTGGACTCATACCATTGATAGGTAAAAAATGCCTTTCTGAAGTATCTGGGAAAACAGCATTCATTCTGTCTGCTAACTCAGTGACAGGGGTACCGGCCTTGTTTCTTTCTTCCTCCCTCCCTGTTCGGCAGTCATGGTTTCTCCCAGGCCTTTGCTGCATTTGATTTGGGGGTAGTTCTGATGTCCCTTCCAAAGCGGCAAGATCTATGATTGGACATTCTGCTTTGGAGGGCTCCTTCTGTGCTAGGCTGAGTAGCTCTCTCTTCAATGAGTTTGGTAAGATCAACAAGTCCATAGTATATTTATCTGCATGGGCTTCAACAAGATGTTTGAACCTTTTCTTCACTTCTGACTCTCCACCATTTGATATATTTGCATTGTTTTTGAAGAGGCTCACAAACTGCTGAATGTGACTTCTAGCCATTACGACAGGTTCTGCACCGCCCTTAATATTCAGTGTACCTATCTCTACAACAGTGACATCAGCCGAGGTTCTTTGAATGAGGCAGTTCAAGAAGAGGTTCTGGGCACCTACAAAAATACAGTGCATATCTTTGGGATAATATTCCCTCTCTTCCAATTCCGGTTCACAGAGTCCTTTAATATATTCCTACAACAAGAAAGCAGAAGGAGAAGAAAATTAGGAAATGACAACTCACTTCTCCAGACAAAACTTACTTCCAGAAGGTTAAGAAGTAAAAGATGGGCTTAGAATGTTCATTTCAAAAGACATGAACCAAGCCAGGGGAAATGCTAACTGTATTATTTTGTGGAATAAGGAGTAATATCAGGTCAAAGTTATATATACTCACAGGCTTCAACAATACTGCTTGCTATGTTATAATGGGAGGGACAAATGATCATTACTGGCACTTTGGCTCCAAAGCTGGGAGATGGTTGAGGGGTTCTGTTGTAATATTATGGCCAAGGCACCTGGAGAATTTGGGCAAGGGAGGACTACACCTGATATCATCTCCATGCTGTCTTTATCCCACGCCATAATAGAGAAATTGCTGCTGGATGCTGATACATGAAGACACTCAGGATACCTTCCAGCATCTCTCATCCTGCCAGCCTGTCCCTTTCTTAAGGAAAGGCAGCTTGCCTAGAATTGAGTGTGAAACCTAACAACGGCAGGATTTGGCTTCGCAATCAAGCTAGAGGTACACTTCCATACATCCAAGTCTACGGTGTTTATACCCGATGATCATCATTCCTGATCTGCATATTCAGCCCCTCTTAAGATCATTTCCAGGTTGACTTTTAAAATGTGCTACTATGAACTGTCAAGATCTAAGGTTTAAGTATTATTCCTGGAACTCTAGTCAATGTTATCAAATATTTCTGTGACAGACCTAAGCCTCTTTTATACCGAACAGCTGACAAATCACTACAGAACTGGCTTTCTAGAATACTGTGCAGGAGAAGCACAAATATTTTCTTGGTTTGAAAGTAGTGCTGGACATGCTATTATACACTGTTTATACAGCCATCACGGTACATAGCACTTGACAGAGAACAGGTATTTCTCATTATCAGGAAAGACAGGTGTGTCAAGAGTATTGCTGGCATAACCTACAGAATGCCATGTTGTTTTCTTAAATAACGTGATTGCATTTGGCATTATCTCATCATAATGTCTTCTCTTACTCGTTGAGTTTCTAACATAGTGTTCTAAGTTCTGCTTTTGGTGTATTTGATCATTTTTCTGTGTTATGTTTGTTGATTTGTTTGATCAAATAAATACCTAATCATTTTTTAAAGCGAAGTACTAGCAGCTTTATTATCACTCCTGCTTGTGGCCGAGACAGTTGGCATGTTGAAGAATGAGTGGTGATAAATTTCACTTAATACGACAAGCCTTGGAGCCCTCTAAACATTGCTTTACAATGCATGGCCACTCACACTGGAAGTACTGGTACTATACACAAGGCAAGTGACACTATGTCCAAACGCTTCTGAGATGACACCACTTTTATGTTGTAATAGCTGAAATTCCTTCCCCAAGCAGATGCACGCCTTTCAACATTTGTTTGCAGAAAGAGAGGATCCTCTCTCTGGCTTGTACTGCCAGAGAATCAACCTGACTCCTACAGTATAAGCCAACCCGAATATAAGCTGAGGCACCTAATTTTACCACAAAAAACTGAGAAACCTTATTGACTCGAATATAAGCTGAGAGTGGGAAATGCAGCAGCTATGGGTAAATTTCAAAATAAAAATAGATACCAATAAAATTACATTAATTGAGAAACTAGTAGGTTAAATGTTTTTAAATATTTACAAAAACTGTAATATAAGATAATACTGTCCAACTCTGATTAAACCATTATTCTAACCTTCTTCAATGCAAATGTGCTTAAGTATCCTTCCAATAATCACCATCGTTTATTTTAACTATACATTTTGCAAAAGCTCTGTGTGTATATTAATAAGAAAAAGTGGGAAAGACTCGCGCTGAGAGAGGAGAGGAAGGTGTGCACTGCACCGAGAGAGGAGAGGAAGGAGAGTTGGGTTGCTGTGTGGAGAGGTGAGGGTCATGGCAGGAAGGTGTAGGGCTAAAAGAAGCTGTTCTTTCAGCACCACGCTTTACTGCCAGGACCCTCACGCAGGTATAAGCCAAGGGGGGCTTTTTCAGCCTTAAAAAAGGGCTGAAAAACTAGACTTATACTCGAATATATACTGTACTTAGAAGACTGATGAGACTGTTGCCCTTATTCTAATGGGATCTTATATTCTACCTCTTATTTGTCAAGGCTTCCTCTGTTCCTCCCGTTTCTTCTCTCTGCTTACACAAAAATTAGATGGTCCACTAGATATCACTGGACTGAAACTCCCAACATACCATACTGCCTGTGCTACTAATGTTACTGGAAATTGTAGACCATCAACATATGGAGGGCTACTTGTCCTTGGTCTATGGAGCAGCCACGTGCCTTACTCTTACCCTTTCACTCTATCTTCAAACCTACAATTTTCCCCAGATCTGCTGCAGGTTGGGAGAGAAGCTGATCTAAGATATCATCATCATCATCATCATCATCATCATCATCATCATCATCATCATCATCAATATAAATAAAAATGTAATGTTCGTTTGTGGGATTAACATAACTCAAAAACCACTGGATGAATTGACACCAAATTTGAACACAATACACTTATCAGGCCAATGAGTGACCATAACTCATAAAAACACTGAAAAACATAGCAGAAAAGAAAAAAGCAAAAAGATGCTACAGCGCATGCAAAACAAAACAACAAACAAAAAAACCCGACTCCCCCGGCAAACAAAACACACAATAGCATATCCACACTCTGTTTTGGACCACAGCTCCCAGTATCCCCTAGACCAGGCCCTTTAGGAAAGGAGGATGATCCAAATGCAGTGCTTCCAAGATGCAAGCTTTCTTCTCCTTGGATTTCTGTGAGAGCATCCCAATCGCTGCATATTTCCAATTTCCTATTCCTGGACTGCAACTCCCAGGAATCCTCCAGATAGATAGATTCGATGAAGATAGGTAGGTAGGTAGATAGATAGATTAGGGGGACTGCTGGGAGTTGCAATCTAAGAATAGATAGAGAAGGAAGAACGGGGAGAAAGAGGAAGGGAAAGAAAAGGTGGGGGAAGGAAAAAAAGAAAGAAAGAAAGAAAGAAAGAAAGAAAGAAAGGGAGAAAGGGGGAGAGAAGGTTGGCCATAGCAGCACATGGGGGGAACAGCTAGTTATTAATAATAATGATCACAACATTGGGTTACCTGCCTCGCCAGGTGGCTTGAGGCGGGGTACAACAAAGTCAAACACATATGAACATGAAATATATACAATAAACTACATAGATAACACAAAAATATAAAGAAGTGCAGCAAACACAACTACAGAACTGGCATATAAAAGTAACAGAATGTAACATAGGAATGGAACAATGGATGACGAACCTGGACTACGCTTGGATGATGAGAAGATTGGGTACGGTTGTTTTTCGTAATAATTGTGCATTGTAATTGCTTATTGGTAATTTATGGATAATGTGTTAAGTCAATTGTTATATGTTGCATGGAACCACTGCTGTTTCTACTGTTTTTACTGTTTGTGAACCGCTGTGAGTCGCCTTCGGGCTTGAGATACAGCGGTATATAAGCAAAGTAAATAAATAAATAAATCAATCAAAGCTCATGACTGAAAGTTGACTGGGTAGGCCTTCTGCCGGAAGAGATTAAGCTTCCTGGGTGAGTAGAAATTTGAACACACACTTCCTCAAAGTCTTATATTTGTCCCATGACAACGCACTGATATAAAAAACAGTAATAGTAATAATATAAACATTTTTTAAAACCCTCAAAGCTATGGACTTGCGAATGAGGAATCTTAATGAACTTTAGAGCTTCTTGGGAACATGGGCAAAACTGCATTCTTACAGTAAAGATCTGCTTTCCTTTTAAAGGAAGAGGGATACATAAAAAACCCCTTTCCTCTTTTATAACCTCACAGAACCACCAATTTCTACAGAAATGAGCAAGACACTTTACCATGGGCATTTCCATTCAGGAACTATTTTTCCCCTCTTCGCATGCAATTTCCCACTGCATACAGTCTACTCAACAAAATTCCCTAGATAATGAAATCTATCAGGAAAGATTTAGGAGGAAGTTCTTCACCTTTTAATCCCTAAAGCAGACTGGAGGCATTTCAAATACATACAATAATAATAATAATAAAGATAATAATAATTTTATCACAGAAGTCACTTCCTTATCATCTCAGGTTTGCAGAGTGTACAACAGAAGGCCACATCTGACCCAGGGATTCCTAGATGACCCTACACTGGAACCAGCCAATACAAATATTGTGATACAAATTTAATCATTGTTTTTTTTTGTTAGGTTTCATATGCATGTGAAGCATTAAATTTTGCCATAAATATGTTGGAAACCACTTTGAGTCCTCCCTTGGGGTGAGAAAAGTGGCATACAAGTAAAGTAAATAAATTTTACTTTCTTCCTGAAGGTCAGGAGGGAGGAGGCTGCTCTAATGTCACTGGGGTGGGATTTCCATACCTGAGGGGCACCACTGAGAAGGCCCTCTCTCTCGTCCCCACCAGTTGCACTTGCAAAGGACCAAGAGTAGGGCCTCCCAGAAAATCTTAATCTCCATGGTGGATCATAGAGGGAGACACATTTGGACAGGTATGCTGGGCCGGAACCATTTGGGCTGCATAGGCTAAAGCTAGCACTGCGAATTGTGCTTGGTAGCAGACTGGCAGCCAGTGGAGCTGACATAACAGAGGGGTTGTATGTTTCCTTTACACCACTCTGGTGAGGAATCTGGCTGCCACCCATTGGACCACTTGAAGCTTCCCAAACAGTCTTCAAAGGCCAGCCCCACGTAGAGCCATTGCAGTAATCTATCCTTGATGTAACATGAGCATGGACCACCGTGGTCAAGGTACGGGCGCAATAATAATAATAATAATAATAATAATAATAATAATAATAATAATATCATCACCACCATCTGAAAATATTCCCTAATGTGAAATAAAAATTATTATTATATGAAAATATTTCCCAATCCGAAATAAATATAAAACTTATCATTATTATTATCATATGAAAATATTCCCCAATCCGAATTAAATAAAAAACACCTGATAGGTGAATTGTGTCCAAATTTGTTGTCAATTCGTCCAGTGGGTTTTGAGTTATGTTAATCCCACAAATGAACTTTACTTTTTTATTTATATAGATATATATTATTATTTGGTGTCAATTTGTCCAGTGGTTTTTGAGTTATGTTAAATCCACAAACGAACATTACATTTTTATTTATAACTAGCCGTCCCCTGCCACGTGTTGCTGTGGCCCTGTGCATATGTGTTGTGTGTGTATATATGTGTATATATAATTTGTGTAGATGTGTATTTATGTGGTTTTGCACATGTGTTGTAATGTATCTTTTTTTTGGCTTTTTAAGTCCCTTCTGCTGTGTTTTTCAGTGTTTTTATGAGTGATGGTCACTCGTTGGCCTGATAGGTGTATTGTGTCCAAATTTGGTGTCAATTCGTCCAGTGGTTTTTGAGTTATGTTAATCCTACAAACGAACATTACATTTTTATTTATATAGAAGAAAACATTCCCCAATCTGAAATAAATAAAAACTTATTATTATTATTATCATATGAAAATATTCCCCAAATTCAAAATAAGATCTCAATATGAATGCAGGTGATGATGATGATGACGATTATTATTATTATATGAAACTATTCCCCAATCCAAAATGGGTCCTCAAGGTGTAGATCAAGCCTGGGCCAACTTGGGCCCTCCCTCCAGGTGTTTTGGACTTCAACTCCCACAATTCCTAACAGCCTACCGGGCTGTTAGGAATTATGGGAGTTGAAGTCCAAAACACCTGGAGGGAGGGCCCAAGTTGGCCCAGGCCTGCTGTATCTGCTTCAGGCGGTGAGGCCTGGTCCTGACCTTGGCGCTGCGCACGTCCCCGGTGTCTCCCAGGAGGGTGAGCCAGATGCGGCGTCCTTTGGCCGGGCCTGGCTGCTGCTGCCCGTCGGAGGCCCAGCCGGCTCCGCTGAGGGCGCCCAGGATGCCGAGGCGGACGCGGAAGAGGCGCTCGATGGCGGCCCGGCTCCGCTCCAGGCAGCCGCTCTTCTCCGCCGGCGCCGTGAACTCGTCCATCACGGGCCCCGGCGGCGTCCCAACAGGAGCGGCATCACTTCAGGACGGGCCTCGGAGGGAACTCCCGCTCCGCCTCCACCCTCTCAGACCCTAGGCCGCATCGCTAGGCAACACGTGACGTCACCGCGAGGCGCCACACAAGGAAGCCGCTCGCCCGTCGCTCCGCTCAATTTCCCCTCCAATCCGCGCCGAGGAAGCCTCCCGCCGCCATGTTGACTGAGGGCACGTCAAACGTCACACACTAACTGCTCGAGGACTTCATTTCCCAGAAGCCTTAGCCGCGTTCGCCGACGGTTGAGGCTCCTGGGAGATGAAGTCCAAAACAACATCAGAAATGTTTCAGTTTCTCTTTTGGCGGTAGAATTCAACCCCTTCCACACAACTGAAAAAAATCCCATATTATTCATTTATGGTGTCATCAGCAACCAGACATTTGTATTACATTTTTAACAAAAACTACACCTGGAATATTGTGTCCAATTCTGCGCACCACATTTGAAAAGAGATATTGACAAGCTGGAATGTGTCCAGAGGAGTGCGACTAAAATGATCAAGGGTCTGGAGAACAAGCCCTATGAGGAGCGGCTTAAGGAGCTGGGCATGTTTAGCCTGAAGAAGAGAAGGCTGAGAGGAGATATGATAGCCATGTATAAATATGTGAGAGGAAGCCACAGGGAGGAGGGAGCAAGCTTGTTTTCTGCTTCCTTGGAGACTAGGACGCGGAACAATGGCTTCAAACTACAAGAGAGGAGATTCCATCTGAACATGAGGAAGAACTTCCTGACTGTGAGAGCCGTTCAGCAGCGGAACTCTCTGCCCCGGAGTGTGGTGGAGGCTCCTTCTTTGGAAGCTTTTAAACAGAGGCTGGATGGCCATCTGTCGGGGGTGCTTTGAATGCAATATTCTTGCTTCTTGGCAGGGGGTTGGACTGGATGGCCCATGAGGTCTCTTCCAACTGATCTATGATTCTATGAAATGTCACACACTAAGTGCTCGAGGACTTTATTTCCCAGAAGCCTTAGCCGCGTTCGCCGACGGTTGAGACTCCTGGGAGATGAAGTCCAAAACAACATCAGGACGGTTTCAGTTTCTCTTTTGGCGGTAGCAAATGCAAAGTAACTAATATAGGAAAATGGAACGACTAGACCAGTGTTTCTCAACCTGGGGGTCGGGACCCCTGCGGTGTCAAAGGGGTCACCAAAGACCATCAGAAAACAGTATTTTCTGTTGGTTGTGGGTTCTGTGTGGGAAGTTTGGCCCAATTCTATCATTGGCGGGGTTCAGAATGCTCTTTGATTGTAGGTGAACTATAAATCCCAGCAACTACAACTCCCAAATGTCAAGGTCTATTTTCCCCAAACTCTACCATTGTTTGCACATATTTATTTATTGTTACTTTGCTTGTATACCGCAGTTTTCTCAG